TCCATCTTCATCATTTCACGGCTTCGGGAATAAACACAATTTGGCTGATGATCTCATTTGTTTCGAGTATATCGGGGGCCCAAAAAATCTCAAATAGAAAGAGGCTAAGGGTATTTGGTGAAATTTGGGTTGGTTGGGGATGAGTTTTGTGTTGTTCCTTTTCTTTTCGATGTTGAAAAGTTCAAATTTACTGTTTTCTCAACATTTTTAAGAAAGTTTTGGGGGATGAAATAGAAAAACGTTCATATTTATCAACAAATTTGTTTACAACGATTGTATAGTGGCCAAAGTTTTAGTTTTCTTTTAATCTTGGCATTTTTCTGGCTGGATTTATGTTGATTTCTCTTTGGATGAGTTCTTCGCCAAAAGTTGATTTAAATTTAGTAATAAAAACGCGAAGTTCATTTGAATAATCAAAGATACCGGCCCACACAGGCGTCTATTTTGCCACAAATATAGAAAATAAATTTCAAATTTGGTCATCAGAAAAAGAATTTTTCGCTTTTTTGTTTTTGCTTGTTCCGTTGAATCGCCAAATGGTTTGGCCAATCTTAACGGCTCATCGGTTCACAAGAATGAAATAATTAGATTTTTTTACTTAAAAAATATAGAATAGATTCGCTTGGTGAATAATATGGCGGTATTTTAAAGCGCGAACGTCAGTGGGTTCCACAGAGGGTTCCCCAGGTAAACTTTTAACCTCCCCCACCCTCCCTCCTTCCGCGGGCGGCGGGGTTTGGCACCAGGATAGGGCCCCTAGCTCTTTTGGAACTGCGTCATGGAAATTTTGCTAATATTTTCCGACTGAACGAGCTTATTAAATTTTACTAGTGATTCGGAACTTTCTTTTGGGGATAAGGGAACGGCTTGGGTACGGGCCTTTCAACTCGTACTCGCGATAAATTTTTTTTTAGCACTCTTAGATATTTACGAACGAAAAAGGTCTAACGCATATGCTGAAATTATGCATTTATTTCAGACTTTAATTATCATACGGGGAAAAATCCTGATCAAAAATAAAAAAATCTCAACAATAACATCATAGTAAAATACGGATGAATATGTTTATATTTCATTTTTTTTTTTAATCATAATGAAATAATAAAGCGTTTTTTTTTTTTAAATGATCGAAACCAAAGTATACTTTACAGCAAACACATAAATATTCATACAAATATTTATTGCCGTATTTATTTATAATGTGATGCTTTAGGGGATTTGTTAAAGGTAAAAATAATGACGCCACAATAATAAATAAAACAATCATGTTTACCTTTTGTGTCTAAGAGAAATCTGAATCGACGAATTTATTGAATGCATCAGTTTCGTTGATTTCAAAACTATATAATTATAGTTTTAATGAAATTGGTTGTGAAATGACCGGAATTGTAGTGATGATCAATAGTAGTTTTTACTTTTTTTCTAGAAGTAAGTGTATGAACAGTTTTTATGTAGAACAGTATGTGATGTTTTTATTTGTGTCACGCTCTCTAACAAACATAGATAGAGACACCTATGAAATGCATTTCTACATTTTTTGAAAAAATATATCGATATTGGAATGTATGGTTTTGGGTTACTTTTACGCAAGGGTACATATTTTAAGAAGTGTCTTACCTTTGAGCTACCATATATTTGTGTGAGGTTGGAATCCCAACCTAAAAAAAGCTGTTTGCATTAAATTTATCTTAAAGTATAAAGTTTAAAGCAAAAAACACGGTATTCTTTCTTAAATGGTATGTGATACTCCCTAACGAAGGTTTGGTTCTCTTATGCAGTTGAATGTACTTGATATAAAAAATAATAATTAAGTCCACCATAAAGGCTTAAGATTAATTTTAAATGACACAAACATTAATCTGTAGACACATATTTGATGGTATGAATTTCAATTATTATATATTAATATATATAAAAGATGAAAGGTAGAGATAAATAGTAAAATTAATGTATATAAATTTAGACAAAAATGACACACTATTGCGTGGTCCTAAGAATATTACATAACTATCGTAGCAATTGATAAGTAGAATACTCAACGCAATTTAATATATTTTTAGATATTTACAATTTATATGCACGAGATATACCCCTTATTCACTATAGCGATTTCAGAGCATTCTCGATTTTTTTTCCCAGAATATATATGATCTTAAAAAGGATAAGTTTCACATCGAGTGTGTCCACTTTATTCTAAATATATTTTTCTGATATATATCAAGGCTTCTACCAAAAAAACTATTTTATTGTGATAAATAAATCCATTCCAATGATTTTACTTTCCTCTTTAATATTACAGAAATTATAACATTAGGAATGGTATGCTGGAAAGTTCATGAGGCACCATATGCGACCAGAATTATTTAATACAATTTCATTCACAGAAAATTCTATGAAAAAAGAATTCGCTCCAATTAAATGCATTTATTATTTACCTTTCAATGAAAAAGGTCGATTATATAGGCTATTTGTATGCGTTGGATATATCTTTTATTTTCACTTTTTTGTTCAAGTCAGAGCATTTTACTATATTTTCCTTAAATACTTAATTTAAATACTCGGATTTTTTAAAATACAATAAAATAATTCATTCACTTGAAAGTCTCAATCATCAAGCAAGCAACTCGAAGGATCTGATATAGGGAATTTACATTTGTAACAGCAATTAATTCTTTCTCCCACCTTGCATCATTTACTGATTTTAATGTTTTGGGGTAAATGTCAAAGAAAATATTAGTAAAATCATACATTTTTATCTTGAGTTGATAATCTTTGCACCTTATAACTTATTGCTGTTAATTTAATAGCAAGATTAGTTCGATTCCATTTTTTTTCCATATGTATTCTAAATTTTAATTTATAATAAGATTTTTCTCAAATATATCAGTCAAAAAATATTTAACACAATGTAAGTATGATATAAAATTATTCTCAAATATTAATACTAAACCATGTTGACTTTTTGATATAATGGAAAATTCTGCGTAATAAAATATTTCTTTCTTACGCAATCTACTGTTTATGCAACTTTTAAAGGCTTGAATGAGAAGACTTAATTTTACAAAGAGTGTATCCTCTGTATTATCACGTTTTTCATCTCAATGGAATAATGACTCAGACGGATTTGATTGGAAGTCACGTGACTTACATGAGAAACGTGCTTTAGCTATGAGCTATATCGGTGATATCAAAAAAAGAGTGCCAATCCATGATGCAATTAGAATAAAGGCCCAGATTAATAAGGAAGCTCTTTATTGCAACGAAAAACCAACTAGCCTTTTCGAACCCATTTCTTCTTTAACTGATCATGAAGAAACACATGAAGATGTTAATAAGTATTTTAAGACTGTTATTGACGATTTACTAGATGAGTTTTCCGGTGACGTCCTTAATTCAATTCCTGAAAGTGATGTTTCGTTCTTAAAGAATGAATTTTTTGGTGATGAGAAAGCAGAGTCAGACTGCCTACAGAAATGGCTGAAATATCGACGAGAGATAGCTGATTATCAAAGTTATTTATCTATTCCAATTTCGGAACAAAATGTTTGGTCAGCGTGGTATTTAAGACATATAAAGGGGAATTGACAAACACCTAATTTTTTTTTTACCTTAATCATTTAATGACGAAAAAGCTTTTATGTTCAAGCAAGTACATTACTTAAAAACAACAACTTTTCTCATTATTTTTTATCTTCTCTTTCAAGAACCAAAAATAAATAAATAATAGCCATTCAAGAAAAATAGGGAGCTAAACTTACCCAGATGAAAATATTAGTGACATTAGCGTTTCTTTTTTTCTTTGTAATAAGCGTGAAAGGAGCAGAAGTCGATACACAAGTTATATCACTTTCCGGAAACTCAGCAGCAGGCTTTGTTATTGGAGTTGGACTAATTGGAATGCTATTCTTCTCGGTAAAAATGCTTGAAGGAATTCAGATTTCAAATTCAGGCGACTTAGCAGAGGACTGAGGTAAATGTTTACATTTTTGAATTGCTTTTAATACCCAAGTTAGTACATTGCTATACTTTTTTTACTCGATGTAATTTTCCGCACCCAATTCAAAATTTTAAATAATTTATAAAAAGTAATTTAAATGAATTTGTCATTTTTTTTCAAAATCATTTTATCTTTTATTACTTAGTGATAAAAACTATAGTTAAGTATGTCATGAGCGACGAAGTAATTAATATTTTACTTGACTACAGTGTCGCTAGAACTGTTTCTCGTCATGCAATCGTAGTATATCATTTACTAAATAACATTGCAACATTTTCATATACTTCTAAAACGATTGCATGCGCATGCCTGCTGTACGCGTTAAAAGAGCGTAACAAAACACATTTAGTCAGTAATTTGAGGGAGCTCCGTGGCACTTGCAATGATTGTGAGGTAGTAGCACTGGAACTGTTTTTGATGCAAACTATACGCAGAAAAATTCTGTTGATTGAAGGATGCATTCGTTTGGCATTGAAAAAACTAGTTGATTTGCATCCAGAACTAGGCAAATTTAAAGAGGATTTGGTTTTGATCGCCCTTTTTCTGACTGAAAGGCTTTACAAAAAAACTTACTGCCTTTGGCCAGAAAGCGCTGCCATGGCGACTTTGATTGCCGCTTGCAATTTTCTTGCTCTTAGTCCAACAGGCTTATCCGACAAGTTACAGACGCAGCAAGTTACAGAAATGGTAGATTTCCTGTCCACTAGTGTATAATTATTAAGACTATTTCTTACCATTTCGAATTTTATTTATAAGACTATTTTTTCATGGAGAATTATTACTTATTACATTAACTCTTCTTTTTTCTCACCATTTATATATCTATCTTTATATATTCTTTTTGCTATTATTAAAGCTATTTTTCCTACAATTCAGAATATGACTTCAGAATTGGATGATCAACTCGCACTGAATGATGGACACTTTCTAGAAAACAGGGTTATTGGTAAGAGAGGTTACGACATTGAAAACCCACAGTCATACAGGGACCTATTTTTTGATCTCAGTTCGTCTTTGCTTGCTGAAAAGGCGGTAGCGTTTTCCGAAAAGTGTACGCGCTTGCTTAAACGTGAATGTTCTAAATGTTCTACAACATTGGAAGATATTTATAGGAATCGTTCCCACAGGCTGAAATTGTCTCTTGACACGTCTCGTAAAGTTCGTGAACTCTTATCTAAGGCTATATATTTTTTCCAAGAGTCTATACCTTCATCCCCTTCAGCAAACGCTTTTGATTTGATAGCTTTGCTTAGTGTAGCTTTAGCAAAAGACCCTAGTGAAAATGCAAGAGCACTTCTCAAAAGCTTTTCGCATGAAGGTTGGTATTTGGGTTCCCCCAATGCATATCTTGAAATATATTGTTCGCTCCGTTTGAATGAAGATGATTTGTCATATCCACTAAGGCACGAATATTGTGCGGCGAAATTCGACTTAGCCTTGAGAACCTGCCGACTTTCTCCTATTCTAGATTGTCTTCTTTTTAATGATGCAAAAGAGTGCGTGCTGGCAGAATTTAAACCGCCAAAGTTACCTCAAAAGATCCTATATACAGAAGAATCATTAGAATCCTTTTTATTCCGAAGTTATGCATTACCAGCTTCCGTAAAGGGAACCTCTATTCTCTGTTCTTTATACAACAACTTCTTAACATTTTTTGTTCCGAGAAAAATGATATGCTATGAGATGGTTGGCTTAATGGAAGGACGTCTACAAAAAATCAAGCAAGAATCATTGGAGCTTTCACTCGGAGAGCAGGTTGTCTCCTGTATTAAAGACACACTAATTACAGTTCAGCCAATTTCGACGTTGCCCCATGCTGGTAAATCACAGTTCTACGTTAGAATGTATGACCTTGTCTCGAAAAAAGTTTCTAAGAGCGGACGCTTGTCATTTTGTGGTCCTAATTACTATTTATGGAGCTCAACAAAATGTCTATTTTCTTTCTGTTCCGATACTTTGGTAGTCTTGAGGCATGCAAATAGCCCGACTCTCTCTAGGCGCTGCCTGCATGTTTGTACTGTTCTCCTCGATAAAATATGTGCGAACTCAAACGAGCTTGCAATTAATACTGAAGGTATGCCTCTAATGCGGAATCCTTTCAATTCTGATAGTAATAAGGCATTATATTTCACCAAAGCTACTTCTGTGTCCGTAGGTCGCGTAACACTCAAAGGTGACTTTGCTCCATTTTGCATTGAACTCTGGGTGTACCCATGTGCAGTGTCTGAAGTACAAACTCTCATATCCATTGGTGATAAAAGGGTGGATGAGATCTTTATTGAAATTGAAGCATGCAACGATGGTGTGATTTGGAGAGGAGGAGCTAGAACCCCTCGTTTAGGCCAATCGTTTGCAATGTTCACTACATGTGGTAAGGCTTATCTAAGGCAGTGGTCACATGTGGGTCTTAATTTCACCGGCACAACTTGGGAGCTGTGGTTAAATGATCGATTTGTCACAGTTCAATCAGCTCTATTAAACCCACAGCCAATTCAAGATGCTAAATGCATATTGTGCAAAAACTTTGTTGGGTTTTTGTCAGAGGTGAGGATTTGGAGCTGTGCTCGTAGCGCGATTGAGTTAATGCGAGACGCCAATGAGCGACTAGAGGGAACTGAGAAAGATTTATGTGGTTATTATCGCCTTGATGAGGGTGGTGGTGATTTTGTGACAGACTATTCACCCATTAGAGAGCATGTTCTGATTGCACACGGGGAGCTACATTGGTGTGGGTGCCCATCTGTGCCGATTGCAAGTTTGTGTAGTACCAAGTCAGAGTGTCTTATCCCAGACTTTGTGCCCTTATCGCAAAAGGATGATTTTGAGTCACTCCACTTTTCTGTAAGCCCTTGCTATTTTACTATCGCAGTTGCTACTCGTGGTCCGGCTGTCTGTCTACACCAGTACGATCGTACTACTTTTGCACTTGTTGCTCAGACACATTTGCGTTTAACGGGTAATATCAAGATTATTGGCATTTGGTGGAATTCCACACACCAGTCTACCCAATGTTGTGGTATTATTGAAGGTGCACCAGATCGGTTTGTAATGTGGGAAATAGGTGAGTACAATCAATTTTGCTTTAATACCCCCGCCAAGGGTGAGTACACCCTTTGGTCATACGGAAGAGAAGTGCTTCTTCAAAGTGCCAAATATGCACAACCATATTTAAACTCTGAGCGTTTTCTTATGGACGGCATTTCGTGGAGGCTTTCTGTACCAATCCTTATGGTGGATGCCAATTTGAACACACTACAATTTCTTTTAAAGTTGGCGAAGAAGGCTATTGACGAAGATGATAAAGAGCTTGCACACGCAGCGTGTGTTTTGTTGCATATGAATTTACTTTTTCGGCAAAGTGGCGCCACTGGTAATCTAACGCAGGAGCTTGATCCACCTTTTTCGGACGCCTTTGCGTTGTTAACAGTGATCGATGGCGACAAATCTAAACTTGATCTTCTTACACTTCGGAACAGAATTGTAAAACTTGCTTTTTCAGCCTTTGCAGAAAATTCAGGGCTGCTCGAGATTTGTTGTTACTGTTTTTTGTCCGAATCATGCAGGATTCAATTTATCAAAAGTACATCCGGTAGGCATCGAATGCAGCACGAGGAAAAACTTTTTTGGTGTTTAGTTGGCTTATATCAGTCTCTGCGCTATTGCCACGAGGTGTATGAGCGAAACGAACATATCGAAACACTTTTTAAATCACTGATTCTAGAATCTGCTTTTCAAGTTGATGTTGGTGTAAGACAAAAAAAAACCACTGGTCTCAAACAAGTCAGCCGATGTCTTGAATTATTGCAGGAGATTCTCTTTGACAAAATTGTTGAAACACCCGAAAAGGCAGAGCTCAAAGAATTGTGCATTAATTACACGAAGTCGCTCTTGAGGGCATGCGAAAAAATTACCGAATCGGCCAGGAAGACATTACAGAACCACCCGAAAATTGAGCAAACTCTTCTACAGTGTTTGAAGCTGAGTCCCATTGGCTCTCTTCTAACTTCATTTACTTTATCTCTACCTTTTCTACCGACATTTATACTTGTTACGTGTCAGGTACCCATACAGGAATGCCAAGCCGCGTTGCTTTCCGTCACACGGTCAATGTCTGAAAAAGTGATGTGGATGTCGGAGCTCTGCATCGCGATGACCTTTTCACTTTGCTTAGTCGGCTGTATGCTGTCAAGAGCAAATTCCTCATCAAACACAGACAACAGTGATGAGAGCAAATATACTTTAGAATCGAAGTATCTTAACATCATGCGAGGTGGTGCACGCAAGTGTGGAACTGAACGCGATCTTCTTATAAAAAACATTCAGCAAGGTGTCGGTCCCATTGGAATAGTGTTTGAAAAATTACAATTAAGAGATAATTCAGCATTGCGGATGGTGCGAGATGAAAAACTAAAAAGGGTGGAACGTTGCATAATGGCAGCTATATGTGCGCTTACTTTGCCTACAAGTGATCTAAAAAAGGCAACACCTGAAAGTTTGGAACCCGCCTTCCAGCATGTACTGCGAATGCGTCCATATATTATCTCAAGGCGTCAAGAATCGAAAGAGAATCTTGCTGAGATCGAAGCTCGCGCAAATTTTTTTGCACAATTTGAGCCTTGTTGTGTGCATACTGAAAAAGAGTCCAAAACTACACAATCAGACATTTTACCAAAAGTTAGCAAAATTAGTCGCAAAACCGTGCATAAGGATGTTGAAAGTTGGAGAAGGCTTTTCAAAAACTGGAAGGCCATGCGACTACTCAAGACACTTACTTTTTCCCAGGAGGAGAATGACAGTACACACATCGGCAGCGACATTGTTGATTTCCTGCAGTCTAGTGTGATAAAATGTGCCGATGTCAAAAAATCTATCGAGTTTCGCACCCGGCAAGCTCATTATCGTCTTTCGGGGCTGTTGATATTGAAGCAATTGATTGATGAGGCTCGTGTTAATGCGTCTCTTTCATATGTCATCTTACCTGTAATTTCAAAAAATCTATGCGCCTGGCATTATGGTGACGGAGTCGAGTGCTGCCCAAGTGAGGATATTTTTCGATTGCATGGATCCTTTTTTCAGTTGTTTGATGCCATGCTCAACAAATATTTAGATAATGGCAACATTGATCAACAAAAGGACGATCATCGCGAGCGTTATCATTGGGGTGTGTTCCTGCTTTCGCTTATTATCTCACTCAGACACCAGATTGACTTCCGCAAGGTTCGAAGTAATCTTGTGGGTAGGGCTTTTCGATCCATTATGAAAGATTTACAAGCTAATGGGCTGGGTTATCGTCCACGTGTGAATGGCATACTTCCAACCGGTTTCCGAGAGACCAAACTGGATGTTAGTTTAGCCGCTGCGAACATCAAGGTCGGTGAATCGGGTCTTACTGTTAAAGCAAATGGCGGTAGGGGCTCGTGCCTTGCACCATGCAAATGGACGGCACTGAAGAACAAAGAGGAATCTTATGTCTTTTATTATGAAGTTTACGTGGTAGATCTGCTTCCAGGGGCGATGTGTGCGGTTGGTGTGGGACCTTTTGATTGTAGACTGTTTCGATTACCCGGGTGGGAGGCAAATTCGTTTTCCCTTCTTAGCGATGAGGGCGTGCTATTTTCGGGAAAGCCTACAGGACGCGTCACTGGGAACAGTTTTGGCGTCGGTGATGTGGTGGGCTGCGGGTGGAACGTAGTGAAGCGGGAAATATACTGGACCAAAAATGGCAGCTTTTTACTCTCCACAAGCGCAGGGGAGACCGTTACATTTAGCCCTGTAGTTGGTCTAGATGGGAAAGGTATTGTTCAGGTAAATTTTGGCAACTCGCCTTTTTGTTTTGATGCTTGGCATGAACGGCCTCTTCAAATTCTTCCCATTCAATACAAAGGGTATTTCAAGTGGTCAGGCACAGACGCATGGGACGCGTACCGGGCTTTTAGCCTTCGCGCCACCACGTGTTTGCATCAAGCCGCTCTTCGTCCGAACATTTCACCTGAAGCGCTGAATGAACTGGCATTATGTGTTGAACATTGCCTCGGAACTCTCAGTGAGGAGGTTATGTATGCATGCAAGCAAGCTGAAGGCGCTGTTAGGAATCCACAGAGCACCTCTACGTCCTACTTGAGAGCCTTGCTTCGACACTGCGGTATTATAACTCAGCTCTTGACCCGAGCATCCCGAAAGTACATTTCACCTTCTCGTGTAATCCCCTTAGCCGATGTGCTTGAGATAATTGCCCTTTCTTTGATACAGCCATCGACTGAGGTTGAACGTTCAGTATCCTTGGTCTCACTAGCGTCTTTGATGGACTCGGATATTTTAATGGTACTTCTGACGACATGGTACCACACAATGAATTTGGTGCCGCCTGACACTTATGGCGGTGTGCAAGGTGCTGTATCCTTTTCTTTGTTCGATATTACAACTAGTCGTTTTCTCCCGATTTTACTGGGACTAGCGAGCCGTCTATGTATTGACAATCGGCTCTCAACCTCCAAGAAAAGGGATTCTGCAACTCAATTCATGCCGCCGCTTGTGGAGTATTTACCGGATGGTGTGTATTGGATGGCGTTGGCTTTGCTTCAACATCTTAACAGCGCAAATGACAAGAGTGGGAAGGCAAATTCTGGGCAACCTGGCATCGAGACATCCTCACCTCACGCCTGGAGTGGGGTGTTGGATGAGTGGATGAGAGGGGTACTTTCTAGGATTCATCAACCAAATCGGGATGTTCTGTTAATTTTGTCTATTCTTGGTGGTGGTCCGCGTTTGGCAGTTCCGGGAGATGTAGTAAATGTCATACGTACAAAGCGTACAGTTACCAAAGCCTCGCTTATTAATATTTCTATAATGGAAGAGGTATGCGAAGTGGTAGAGGATCAAGTGTACCGAGTGTTGCCTTTGCGTTTAGTGGATCTTATCATTGCTGACGATGAGTCCAATTACTATCCAACCTGCGACTCGGTATCACATCAAAGGCAGGCAATAGAAGTGCTTTCACTTGCGCTTCGTCTGATAGCAAGTGGAAGTTGGTCTGATTTCGATGGAAGCGCATTATTGGCCCACCTACTGTCCGTCTTATGGCGTTGTACTGTACGTCGTGTTATAGATCTGCCAAAATCTATAATAGCAATGCTCTCGCTTTCTGTGAGGTCGGCGGAAGCGATACCAGTGGATTTCCATCAGTTAAGGATGGACAAGGTTCTCACTGAGAGCTGTTGTGCTGGAATGCGCCACCCCACGTCCCCACTTTTTTTACTGACTAACAATACAAGCGATGACCTTTCCAGTACTTTTGAGGCCTATGATTTAATGTCGCCGATTAATTTCACAGGCCCACAGTGGCATTCCCCGGCGTATTCCTCAGATCATGGCGTCGACATTGACGATGAGGAGCACGGCGATAACATTGACACGAACGAGGGTGAAGACATGAGCGACGAAATTTTGTCGAGCATGGACAATCTGAACCTCGGCGCATCGTTCTCATCTGATAACTTTCTTAAAGACGAATACTTTCAAACAGCAATCATGAGAGGCGCTTATGATGCTATTCGTTTTGATTGCGGCTACCTGTGTGTAAGGGCGGACCGCTGCATTGGGTTAAACTACACTCTGAATCTCCAAATCTACATTCAGGATTTGTCACGACCACAAATTATATTTGCACAGAGTATTTCTGACAACCTTGTACATTCCTTTAGCTCCAACGGAGCAAAGGCTTCTGATAAAGATGGGTCTTGGCTACTTATAGCTCGTATAGTCAACTCATCAATTGAGTACGGTATAATGACAAGAGATAGCTTGGACGGAACTCTCACAGCACCTTTGGTTGAAAATATCTGCCGAATACCCCTCACCTCGGAGGACACTGCTCGATGGATTCGATTAACCTTTGTCGGGTCAGCAACCACTCATTCACTATATCGCGAAGGTGTGTTGAGAGACATCAAACGTGTAGGTGCTATGGTGGGTTCATTATTTCAACATGAGCTGTTCTTTGGTGGATTTAACATGGAGACCGGGACACTGCTGCGTGGTTGCCTTAGGGGCATAAGGATTTACGATGTTGCCATGAATCAAGGAATGGTGGAACAATTGCAGCCCATTAGCTTTTCACTTTTAGCGTTTACGGAACCTCATCTGTGCTTGATAATACTAGCTCAAAAGACTGGCTTTAAAAATTACTCTCGGTCCCCAGTTTCTATTTCAGCGGATATCACTGCGCACGGTGACGTAAGCTACCTCGAAAATTCCGTTTTCCCTTCGAGGAAGGGTGCTAACTTTTGTGCTCAGGAGCTGGACTACGGCAACAATCCTGATGAGGAGAACGTTTTTATGATCGAGACGTCTTGGCTAGTAAATTTTACTCACACTTACCTCACTTTTATCAAGAGCAAGCGAGAACTTTCAATAGGTCAGTTATGGGTGTCATACCGCCGATGCTTAAGGCAGCTTATTACATTCTATAGCATTTCAATTCTTGCTGAATTGCTTTACCAAATTGATTGGAAGAGTCCTCCCTATCCTGAATGGATCACTGCATTCGACAGCGCAAACGATACTTCAGTCATCAAAGATATCCTCCAATACACTTTTATTACCGGGAACGATGTTTTGTATGGGCTACTTCAAAATCTACTTCAAACTATTGCTCGTTCTAACGAAGTGTCCCCGCTAACTACAGCACTTTGCAGAGATGCCCTCCAAAGTCTCCTCCAAACAGCACAGTGTGAACAATCTGTACACATCTATGAATCACCTCATCCCCTCACCCCCTCTCTACCCAAGACAACTCGTGAAATATCTTTTGAGGGGCAAAATTACTATCAGTTTTTTTTTGATTCACGTAGCTCCAGCAGCAATATAGTCCTGACCTTTTCAATGGACAAGATGTTTTCGAGTGTGTTTTCACAAACTCCAGGCTTTGCGTTAACTTCCTTCACCGTACAGCTTCCACGTGTGTATTTTGATGTTCGTATCACGAGCGCGGTGCCACAGTGGGGGTATAAAATGTTTGTCGTATCTGACTGTTTGCCACAGCTGCGAGCGGTACGGCTTATTCGCACGATGCTGACTACAGCACTTGAATGTGAACATCTACATCATTTCCCTTTTTTGAAATCCGGTGGTTGCTTAAAACAGATGAGCCATTGCGCAATGGTAAACACAGGGAAAACGCGACGTATCATACTTTCGTGTTTATCCGACCTGTTGCTGTCCTTTGAACCGTTCGATAGAGCCGATATGAGCTTGCTTTTCTCGACCATCCATGAAATTCGTCGTATGGCTGAACGCAGGTACCGCCAAAATCTAACTGCGCAGCTTCATGTTACTCATTGTCGCTTCTTGCAAGTGGCGATGGAATGCTACACCTTTTTTATGGATGCATGGCGGTGCTGGGGGGATTCTTTAAATTGCGCCGTTGACAATACGGTGTTGACTTCTGTTCAGGAACAGATGCTCTTTGCTCAGCGTCGTTTAGAACAGCGCATGCTCTACCGCTTTCGAGATAATGGCAAAGAGCGTGTAACATTGCAGAAGAGCTCTGATGCGAACCACCTACATTTGGACTGGACCGCTGACATTTGCGTTGTACGCAATGACGGAGGGTGTGCCTCAATGATTGCACAGGTTTCTCTTACACGCGGCAAGTGGTATTTTGAGGTTCGAATTGGTGGCACAGGCAACTCTTTTATCGGTGTTCTGCCGAGCGCATCTATGTATCCTGGAGAAATTACTCGATCGGTTGTCAACCAGTTCGCATTTAATGGCTTCACTGGATTATTACAGGGTGCAGATAAATTGACCAAAAAGATTGCTTCTCTCGAGACATGGCAACATAAGGATTACGTAGGTGTTGTACTCGATATGGATGAGAAAATGTGCCGCTTTCTCATTAATGGCAAGGACGTAAACGTGAGCTTTAGCTTTGGTGGTGAGGAAGGAAGAGCAGCGGCAGCAGCGGCATGGGCAGAACCACGTGACACCGAATCTGAAAGAACTCAAGATGATACCGTCTTTTTTCCTTACTTCGAGTTGGAGAAAGGTGAATTAATGTTCATTAACTTTGGGGCTTCACATTTCGAGTACGAAGTACCCTGCGGCTGCTTGCCGCTCGACCCAGCGAATTTGATGCTTGGTGCACTGCTTCCTTACAACCATCTACGGGCCTTCCAAGACCTTTTGGCTCATCTTCTTACAGGTGGAAGCCACCCCATGCCACCCTTCTATTACGAAGAGGCAGATCCATTTGCGCATTCTATTGAGAGAAAAGGCTCTGCTCACGTATCGCTTCATTCTCCATCGGATGGTGTTGAGATCAATGTTTTGGAGGCAAAGAATACAGGTACGGGGTTTCAGACTGTCACGGCTGACTGCAGCGTGCTTCTCGGCTGTTGGTACTACGAAGTAACGTTGCACACCCAAGGCCTTATGCAGATCGGTTGGATTGTTAAAGATAGTATCGGCAAAGGCAGCGTTGGTGATATTCCTCTGTCATGGTCCATCGATCTTTTTCGCCGCATGCGCTGGCATAAGGGGATTGCCGAGCCGCTTGTCATCTCAAGGCGGTGGAGTGTGGGTGATGTTATTGGATGCGCGTTGAATTTGTCTGACCGAGAGATGACCTTTTTCCTAAATGGACGATCCATTGGAATAACACCTCTGACCTCTTGTACTTTCCACAATCTCCCTGTCGGTCCTGAAATTGAGTATGTTCCCGCGATTTCGCTTCGCGCGGGAAATCACGTGAGTTTCAACTTTGGATCGTCACCTTTCAAATGTAAGCCCGATGGTTTCAGCGCCTTGGGTGTGTCTGATTCATGGTGTGAGCGCATCGACACATTCTATAGCAATGAGCGCCCCTCCTTAACTCTTCGAAGAATGCTGGCGATACAGCAACTGTGTCGCTCCACAGACTCCTTAGAGGGAACATTGACTAAAGAGAAGATTACAGCTCATTTGCAGTCCTATCGCACCGTAGTGGAAGTGGTGAATCAATTCTGTCAAGAGCCCGGAAAGGTTTACACGCAAATCACGCAAGAAAGCTTTGAGGCGTTTTACAAAAAATATATAATGCCTCCTTCCCATACTGTTCGTGGCGAAAGCAATACAAATGAAGACGAAATGACAAAATTATGGAACCAATTCTTGCTTCTCAAGGCGGTTGCACGTCTTTCTCAGACAATACTACTTTTTCTTAACATCAATACGCAAAACACAAACCTAATGACAATGCTGTTCTTGTACACCCGGAACATCCTTTTCCGTCAGTTGCGCATCAATATGGTAGATAATATGCTTAAGGAAACTAATGTACACACACAACATTTGCGCCTTTCGATCAATCGCATGAAGGCTCGTCTCGAGCGTCAAACATTCCAATCTTCAGTCTTTGGCCAAACATTAGCATTATTGATGGATCACCCGCCTTTGCTATTTCAAAGCAATAAGCGTTTCTGGAGCACAACGTTCATGGGCGAAGGAGCAGAGGATGTAGGTGGACCTTTTCGCGAGCATATTAATGAGATTTGCCAAGAGCTAATGTCCACAAACTTACCACTTTTTGTACCTACAGCAAATCATGTTCACAACTTGGGAAAGTGCCGCGATGCCTTTGTTCCAGCTGCCTCCGCAACTGGGCAGCTTGAACTCGCCGCATACGTATTCTTAGGTAACCTTATGGGTGGTGCTATACGTTCTGAAGAGCCACTGAGTCTTTTCTTTCCACCGCTCGTGTGGAAGTATATGTGTTCCTACCCCATTATGGATAACGACTTGGATGATGTGGACCGCATTTGCTGGCAATGTATTCATGAGTTCCAGAATGCGCAGAGAGAATTAGGCAGCAAAGAGGCCTTTAACGAGGCCTTTGATACGGAATACTTCGTAACAAAACTTTCAGATACCTCTACCAAAGAGCTGATAGAGAATGGTGCTAATATTAAGGTAACCTATGACCGTTGTGGTGAGTACGCTGAGGCACTCCTGAAGACGCGGCTGCATGAGTTCGACTTCCAGCTGAGAAAAATACGAGAGGGCATGCTTCAAGTGGTACCGGAGCTAGTGTTGCTATTGCTTTCGCCGGAAGAGCTGGAGATGCGGGTGTGCGGTCAGCCCGAGTTCGAAATAAGTGAACTGAGAAAGTCAACTGTGTATGAAGGTTTGACAAGTGAGGACCGCCGCGTCTTATTACTGTGGTCTGCACTCGAAGAGGCTACGCCGAGGCAACGGAGTCTTTTTTTGCGCTTCGTATCCGGCCGTGATCGGATGCCTGTGAAGCTGCGTGTTCTCCCGTTGCCCACCCTGAGGGATCCAAATACATATCTTCCGCGCGCGGCTACATGCTTTTTTGCGCTTGAGCTTCCTGACTACAGATCCCTCGAGGTGATGAAAGAAAAGCTATATTACTGCATAGAAAATTGTCTTGATATTGACACCGATTTCAACGCGAGGCAGACTTTAGAGACCGAGGGGCCTCGTCTAGTTGTGGGAATAAATGATGTTGGTGTCAATCATCACATTGAGCATTCCAATTCCAATTCTAGCGAATAAATTCACATGGAACGGAAAGTTGCTTCCATGAAAATTATTTCTAACTATTTCATGTAAATTTTACTATTTTTGAGGGCGTTTTTTTTCTAATGCCTTTTCTTGCCCCTTTTTTATTTACTTGAGGGCTTTTGGGAGTCACACACGTTCCAAAAGCAGGCTTTTGCATCTACGACACAATGTTATCCTTATATATATCTTTAGTGAATTTGCTTAATATTGACTGTTTGTCATCACTTTGCGTTTAGCCATACATTTCCCACTTTCATAGTATACCGAGGTTATTTTGTTTATGTGGTGATATAGGGGCTGCTCACATCGTAAATTTCAGTATATTTGTAATGACTCATGTTTTTCCTATAGGAAAATATTTTATTTCCAAGTTAATTTACCTTTCTCATGGAATTTTTTAACTGTTTAGGATATATTTCTTTATTTTTGAAAACAGTACAATATATATAAAAAGGAAATTGTTCAACACACCTTCACATTAATGCTGTTTTACTAAGTTTGAAGTACGTTTTGTCCTTTTTAAAACATGACTTTCCTGAACACGCAACTAGTTTCATGTTCTCTATTTTCTACTTCACATATGGACCATTGTTTTATTTCTTTCATGATAATTGTTTTCCCTCCCGGCTAGATGTGCTGTCATAATTACCGT